TTATTTGACAAGTCCCTGGAAAAATGGAAAGAATTCATGAAAAAAGAAATTTATTAATGCTTCCCAGATTAGGCATACAATTTTTTCTAAAAGCGAAATGTTCCTCTTATACATGATTACTTGCGCTTTCCTGTTTTATTTATCATTAGGAAGACGCTGTTAGTATCCTAATGATCAATTACTTATAAAATGGTCGAAATCTATCAGGTCATAATAATAATAAATAATAATAATAATAATAATGTCTTTATTCCATCATAAGATAAAACTACATATCTTATGTTACAATGAATTGAAAAAACTACAGAAATCTACATACATATTATGAATTAAAAAGTATATCATTACAATAAATGGAGCTTAAATATCAACCTATTTACAAATGTGTTCATAAAGCGCTGTGTATTAGTTTTCGGGCGCGCGCAGCCTTTTTTCCTGAGATTGTGTAGATATGTCTTTTGGACAGGAATGATATCTTTCAGGGGGTGGCAATCCGTTGATTTTAGTTTCTTCAAAATATTTCTGTCTTGTTTGTTTAAAAGGTTCTTGATAAAAACTGGGAATGAGATAAAACCGCGTTCATGACATCGGTCTAAAAATTTTTGTACAACCGTAAGATCGGACTCAGATGCCCCATAGACTGAAAGTGCATAGCTAAAATTAGCCAAAACAATCGATATAAAAAGATGATCAATCTCTGCCTGAGAGTAATGTTCCTTTCTCAATGTTCGTAGGACGTGTAAACACTTGTTTGCTTTGACAAGCTTAGTTCTTACATGCTCATCAAATTTTCCATCACTCTGTAAAGTTACTCCTAATAAAACGAAGCTATTACATTGGGGAATATTATTAATTGGAGAGTAGAGTACATTATGATTTTTCTTTCTAACAACCAGCTCTTTACATTTGCAAGGGTTGCAGACCATTCTATTGTCTTTACACCATGTTAAGAACTGTCCTACTAAGTCGGCAGACGGGTCACTATTCCTAGTGATAGGCGAAAGAATAGTGGAATCATCGGCATATTTAAAAAGCACAGGGCAACCATTAAAAAAAATCTCCAAATCGTTCAAAAATATATTAAAAAGATACGGTCCGCTTACACTACCTTGTGTGGTTCCTCTATTGACAAGTTTCCACTGTCCTAAAAAATTATAACTAACAACACGCTGTTGTCTTGCATAGAGGAAACTATGATACCAATTGATAATGTACGGATTTAGAGGTAGCTGTTTCAGTTTGGCAGACAAAATAGCATGGTTCACAAAATCGAAAGCCTTACTAAAGTCCATGGTAAAAATTCGCACTGCGCTATAGTCACTACTATCTAAATACTTGTATGTCTGGTGCTGGATAGCGAGCAAGGCATTTGTGCAACTACCCGCCTGTCTATATGCAAATTGGGTGTGGCTCAGGTTGCTCTCAATGACTGACTGTGCTTGTGTACGATACACGACCTTCTCAAACAACCGGGCAATAACGGGAGTAACATTAATACCACGGTAGTCCGAGTCCTCTATAGGCATATTCACTTTGGGGAGAGGGTTAACATTTGCCCTTTTCCAGGAGTCTGGCCATGTATGAGTAGACAGCGACAGATTCCAAACGTGAGTGACGATTGGTGTGAGTAGCTCAGCACAGTCTTTCCAGATCCAGTACGGGAGGTCGTCTGGTCCCGTTGCGGTTTTCTTTACATGAACTAAGGTATTCCAGACACACCGCTCAGATATTTTCGGGGGCTTTACACTGTCCGGGATATCCATATCACTAGGTCTAACGTAAGTGTCATCATAGCACAGGTTGGCGAAGTAGTCGTTCAGACGAACTAGAGAGTTCTTGTCCAAATTTATCAACGATGACCTGCGACGCTGCGATAGGGCGTCCACGCCCTTCCACCACTCACTGCTACCAATGGCAGCCAGTTTTCTTCTGTTCTCGGTTATCAGCTCAGAAATGCGCTTATTAAATAAAGACAGGCGTTCCTTATTCTTTGAAGATATATGGGACTTACTCCTCAGCATACACTTGACTAATGGGGACATCCAAACTGGGTCACGCGATGACATGCGTACAGATTTTTGCGGCATAAAATTATTCATCACTGCACGAATCTTTACCTCAAGCACCTCGACCGCCTTGTTTATGTCCACCTCATTGAGGACGTCACTCCAGTCCAGCGCAGTGAGTGCCATATAAAATGACTGTTTCCGATGTTCCCTACAGTCCCGCACAAGAACTTTGCGGCGCATAGGTTTAAGCTTTAATCCCTCCGGTAAAACAAAGCCTTCATGGTCTGTCTTAATAAGCATATGTATGGAATATGCTTGACCGAACAGATCCGCTCGGTTGGTCATACAGTTATCCAAGCACGCGTTACCCCGCGTGGGAAAATCAACCACGAAATCCCAGCCAGACAAAGCCTTAAATTCTTGCATATCCAAACGATTTACATCGCCACCACAGACAATAGCCGCTTCTGGGTGTTTGTTCAACACAATGTCCACAAAAGATATTATATAATTAATTAAGTCGAGATCCCGGTAGCTATGCTTGGGAGGATTATACAGGCCGCAAATTAGCATAATGTGATCGGACGGCAACTGCACTGTTAAAGCAATAAATTCATATAAATTGGACCGATAGACATCCAATACTTTAAGACTGTCTCTCACATAGACCGCAACACCCCCTTTTTTCCTTTTGTCCAAGTCTGCCCAACCTCTGTCCCGCCTGAACACATTGTAATTTGGGATATTCACCACGGCGTCCGGCATATTAGTGGAAAGATGAGTTTCACTGACAATACACACATCAATATCCTGAGATCTCAGGTCAGCCTCAAGCGCCACAGGTGCTCGTACACGATTTTTTGTTTTCGACAAACCACAAATGTTCGTAAACAAACATTTTGGGACAGCGAAACCCTTTGATTTAGAGGTGGATGTTTTGTCGGTTGTGTTGACACGCGGAATGTTAATTAAGTTACTCCGATCCACTTTCCGACCTTCAGCCTTGATGAAACGGCGGCCTTGCATCACCGGGATTTTCTTGGTTGAGATGGATCGTGAGATTCGAGCACTATGTTGCCCACGGTATTTCAGAATGCCGAGTGACTTGAACTGAGATAGAACGGCCGGAGATGGCTTGAAAGCTTTGTTTCGGAGAGACAAGAGTTCAGAGCATTTCAAAGACGCTGGCTTAGTTCGCATTAACATCGGGTAGTTCTTATTAACTCCTCCGAAACTCCTGTCTATCTCTGGACCCGGTTGTGACTCTACGTCCATATCTATAGTGATATCTAGCGTGATATATTTCTCCGGTACTGCAAGCAAGGTTAGACCATGGACGCCCCACAACACCACCGGCCGGCGAACTCTAAATTTAGGAGTAGTAAACTTGGATAAAATATGTTTGAAAAGCCAAGGACTTTCAGCCCTCCTATAGTGACAATTGTAGCATTCTTGGGCAGCATTCAAAACGAAAAGAACACCAAAAATGGTAGATAGGCGAAGAGCTCCAGAAAACGTGGCAGCCATGTTGGCGCCTTTCACATTTTATAGTGAATAAAATATTGAACCATGCATTCAAGAGTATTTATAAATAACTTGAAATCAGATAGCTGAATCAAAGACATCCCAAAACCTTTTTCAAACTTTTTTCACCACCATGATTAATTTTTCCTTTAAATATGCCATCAGGAGCCCATTTCTCGTCATGGGCTCCTGATGCCAGACATGATACGGACGATACGTCTGCCCTGCCATCAAGCTTCCCTTAGATACACACAGACAGAATTACAATATAATGGTTAAATTGCTTACTTCTTTCTCGATCTAATATGAAATACATGCTTTTGACATTTTCTGAGAATTCGCAGTTTTTTTCTTTTTCATTTACTACTTACAATTTCTTTAAAACAGTCAGGTTCCTGAAGACGTCTTCTGTAATCGAGCTCAAGGAACAACTTGAAAGATCTCTGGGATAACAGATTTGATTATTAATATAGACTACAAGCAGTCTTTGCTTTCGGCGTACTCCGTTGCGCGAGTATAGAAAAGACAGCGCAAAAAGAAATTATATTATGTTTTGCATTCCGAGCGGGACTCTAAGAGTGAGGCTCATTAACACGCTCTCAGAACACAGCACGGCCATTTTTTTCTTTGGGTTAGGTCGGTAAGGGCCAGGGTTTGACTTGCCCTACGGACCTCGCCAAAAAGGATGAACTGCTCGTAGTCTACAATTAATAAGTATGACAATGACAAGAAATTTGAATTCTAAAGACAGTAGGTTAATTACAGCAGCAAGTACGTGCAACTCGTATTATCCGCATTAAACTATACTAAAGAATAGCATCATTCGTCTTACTCGAAATACTTGAAGATGACGGACCATGATTCAACGCCGAGAAGGAGAACAAACTTTGCAATAAAAGAAATGGGCGGAAGAGATCAAGAGGTGTAAAAAGCACACGATAACAGGCCTTGGAGAAAGAGGAGTGAGTTTTCTTTATCACTTACAGTTCCACTGTATTGCTTGGGATTCCAGTCGGAATGTATCCATGAACTTGACATTTCACTTTTACCCGGGTCATACCAAAGTTGGTACACTGACAGATTTTTTTGCTGCAAACGTCACTCGCGCATGGTTTTACAAAACATAAGACCAAGATGACTTGTATCAGACCAATAGACGTCATTACCGTGGCCTTAGCAGTCTGATAGAAATGAAATGAACAGATAATATTTCGATCTCAAAATAACTAATAAATAAAATATGTTCTCATATAGACTACAGTCACATACAACGATTTCCAGCCCTGAGAAGAGCTGAAATAAAACACGTGTCTGAAAAAATACTATGTCTTTTCACGCGTATTTGATATCGCTAATCAGCTGCGGACACTTCACTCGCCTTTCGCACCACTCGGTCAGGTTGATGAATGAACGACAAAGCTTTTAACATTCTCAATCCATGGTTGTTTGTCGAAATTTCCTCGGATTATGGCTGTTAAAACACTGAAAAATCCGTATCGCTTACAGACATTGACATTCAAAGTTTCCTTGAAGCGAAAGAACTACCAAGATACGGAAAGAAAACCCGAAAGGTAGGAATTCAGAGGCTTTGGTGATTGTTGCAGAAACCCACTGCGTTAAAGAAAATTTTTGCGGAGCGCTGGTTCGACAATCAATAGAAAGTTATCTTTTCGATTTCTTGCTTATATTTACGATCCACACAACCGCCAAACTTTCTACATTCAAACGTTACCAAATCTTCTGTTACATGATAGTGACTCTATTTATCTGCCATTGCAACGGAAATACACGCCGAAACTACGTCAAACCAAGATTAGCATAACTATTTGTCCCTCGCCTCCATGTAAACAGGCCCTAAGGAGCTACTAATGTAAAAGTCCTCATGTACCACATGGCCGTGCATCCATAACATCACGACGTATGCAGTTTCTCTAGCTTCACCTGGAGGTTGCAATCGAGTTTAGCCGCGAGGTTTGGAGACTTTTAAGATTATTTTTCCGTGCATGTAGCTCTTTCAAGCGACGAAATTAGTCATAATTGGCGATGCGAATTATGACTGACTTCAACTGAGGCTTTGCGACGCTAGGGACTCTATATATCGTTATCGGCTCTCGCTGGTTTAGACGACGGTTTTGTCGCGTTTGAAAGTGCCGTCACGAAAAAACAGCATCGTTCAATGAGAGATTTTGATTTTAAAATCGCACAATTTCAAAATTACTAATTTTTTTTACACAAATCTACGCAATTTTCTTACTGTGAATTCTAGTATACAACGATAGAAGCATGCTGAATGGTTTGTTTTTCGCTCACAAGTGGAAATTTACAATTCTCTGAAAAAGCATTTGGTCTCGAAATATTTGCTGCGCCGTGAGTAATTCTTGCCCTTCTCACCTAAGACTCACCTAAATATCCCTCACAGCTAGCTACTGACCTCTTCGATGAATATTTGTGAAGTCTTACAATTTCCTTCCTCTTATAATCCTTTTCAAAGGAACCGTTCTTTTGTCCTCTCGTAATTCCTGAATTAATTATCTTTCAACAAAGGTATCGAAAGCGGATCATGGATACAATAGAATTCAATTTAGAGAATTAGTGATTTGAGGGCTAATATTGGCTTGAAGAAATTAAAACGGTTGATCGTAAATGTCTTGCTCTCTAGTTGTTAATTTTTTTGGTTTTTGACGGGCGATGCTTCAGTCCGTGCCTTTCAGATATCGGTTGAACATATTTTCACTATCTGAGTGAACTGCTGACGAAGGCACACGCATCAGCCATACACAAGAACAGACAAGAATGTTCAATGTAGTGGGTCATTGAGGTTAATTACTTAAAAACTGCAATCCTTATCACAAAAGTTCATAGCTTCCAATGAACCGGAAGGCTCAAAATATAACCCTCATTTGCAAGTCGAAAAATAACAGTAATGTATATGGCCAAATTACAATGGTTACGCCCTCTGCCTTTCATTAGTGATGATTTCATCGACATATTAGCATGAGTGAGGTTTCGAAACAGAAGGCAACTCAAGTTATATAGATGCTTTTATTGCGTCTCAATAACTTTCTCGCCAGGAAAATCCTTGGGTTGAAAGCATTTCCATGAACTTATTTACAATTAGTTATTTTCACTTCGTCAATGGTTTGGTTCGGTTTCAAGTACTCTCAACTCGAGAATACTTAGACACATTTTGAGTTAAATTTTTAACAACACTGAACATGTTATGGGGAGTAATTTTTATAGACAAGAAACGTAAGCTCTATTTCAGCATTGCTCACAGCACTAATTGGTGAAAATGTAATTCCTGTTTAAGCCTTCGTCACCCGTCATTGCTTTTGCGTCCGGTCAGGTTTTTTGTCGGAATGATTAAAAATAGTCTGGTTTCGAGAGTTGAAAAATGGTACTTGAACGACACACATCTTTATCACGATAAGCGAGAAGGAAGACTAGAAGCAAAGTAAACAAACACAAGTGAACTTTTAAGCGAAAAATTTCAACTTCTAAAGAAAGAATTCCATTCCTAAAACGTCTGGGACAATTTGTATGCAAGTGTGGAGGCGTATCAGTCTCTCTTGGTAAGTTACAGATAATGTCAGAAATGAAATTGTAATACTGCTCGTTACAATTTTGTGACATACCTCGCTTCCATCTCAGTACTTAAGCTTCTCTATGCAGTCTAATTTTCGTATTATCACATTTACAATTAAGAAAAGATAGCAGTAATAGAGATAGTTTTTGGCGTGCAATAAACAAACGAAATGGCGACCTTTGTTGCTAAGAATAGTGGTGGGGTTAAAATGAAGCCAATGATAATCTTAAAAGAGTTTTTTTTTCTTCGTTTTAGTTTCAACAAGCGGCGCCAGCGACTGGTAGGCATGCAAGGATTCACACTGAATTAACAGAACAACCTTCGTTTTTCATAAAATTGTAATTTACAATCCTTGAACTTAAAAACAATCCGAAGATTCATTGAAAATATCACTTACTGCGAAGCGCTCAGAGTTTACTGATGTTCGAAAGCTTTTTCTGTTATGACGTGAGATTGAGGACAAAATCGATCATTACGTTTCGTATCGTGTGTTTTTCCTGCGTGAAGCGACAAAAGATGCCGGCGACTGACGAAATTACAAGTTAACACGAAAATCAAATAACACCTAAACAAACAATTTTAGCTACCGATTTTCAGTGAATTTTTAAAGAACAATTTTCTTTTAAGTCTCAAAACAATTTGGAGATTCAAATTACATACCACGTACTAAAATGCGAAAGTTATACACTACAAAATTGATAAATAGGCCTGAAATGAAATTCTATCTTGTTATTGATTATACGTTGCCTAGCACGTGACTAAAATCTACCTAGGCGGAGATCCAAAATGACGGTGGCAGTCTTGGCTTAGTTATATCACTAAAAACTCGTTCCCGTTTGTCTCATTTGATAAAGAGGGAATAGTTAATGTTTCCATTAAGACAGTATTGCCTTGATTTTCTAATATTTACAATGATAGACAGTAAATTTCACTTTTCACCCACATTTACTTCCAACCTTTTCTTTTGAACCAGAAACAAAAATGATATACGTTTAAAACACATGACATCATCCACCCTTGTCAAATGTAATAGCATGATCATTTCAATTGTAATGCCTTCTTATCCCAACGTTACTTTGTTTCTCTGCTACATTAGCGAACACTGAACTACTGCTCGCACTCTAGATATGACAATCAACCACAAAATTCCCTAAACCAGATAACATTAACCATAATCCAAAAAATCATGTGTCAATTCAGTTTCTTCACAGAGCACTTTGATTTGCTCCTTTGGGAGCAGTGTTTCAGAGAGGGTAACAAACAGTCATCAAAAAGTCCACGTTTAATTCTCAAGTTTCTACTCGCATACATATTTAAAATCTAAACTACTAATTAATCGTTTTACTGCCAGCTATTGGTTGAGAAAGGCGATGATGATTTCGATCAGTCACCTACGACGAACTATTGCTTTGAGCTTGCTGATTTTTTTCATCAGTGAAACAACGGGATATCCCTCGGGAATTGAAATTATAAATGCATCATTTTGTGGTGAGTGTCTCTCTTTTGATTTATTTTCAATCCTCTTTCAAAGATATTCCGCCTACAAAAGCTGCTCAGCAATTATTACAAAATGTTACTAGAAATTGAGTGGCAAATAAAAAAAATGATAATTGTTCATAGGAGAAAAATAATGATTACTTTTCTTACTTACAACTACCTTGAAAGTGAAGACAGGTACATTTGGCCAAGCGTGGATGAGATTTTAGATGTGAAATTCATGCAATTCATGAGGTGATAAATGAATAAAGAAAAACTGAGCGTTACAAGGAAAATTCTCCTCTCTTGATTAATCGACTACTTTTAAGGCCTTTAAGGATCTTTCCAATTTCAATTTTTCTGTTTGTATTCATTATTCCCGATTTCCGATTCCCTGGTTTTATAATTCATTCTCCATTCTTAATCTTTTATTCTCGATTCAAAATAATTTCCGTTTCCCTTTTCATCGCCCCCCGCCTATTTTAATAAAACCGGCTGCGGATAAGACCATTTTTTGAAAAGTCAAAACTTTTTCTCGACAAAATGTAAAGAACCTGGCCATCGTAATGTTCTATACATTACTGTTTCAAAGCTTTTCGTGGGCCAGGAAATGTTAACGTTAGAAAGATGGGAACTGAAAGATAAGTCATTATTTATTGCTTGTTGGGAGGTTGGGTAGTGTGTACCTGATCCCCCTTAAGGCTCTGTAGTATTCTTATCATCTCTTCTCATTAGCAATTCTCTACAGTCCCCCCTTTATATGCCTTTAGCGACGACTGATCCCCCGTCCCCTCCCGTGTGATCCTGCCTAAAAACCTTCCACCCCAGGCCCAAAAGTATGGAGAAATAAGAATCACATCAGCCATTGACTAACTAGTGACTGATCTGCAAACTGTGTTTTTTTTTTCTTTTTCTAGAAACCATTAAGGATTATATGTTTATGTACAAAGTTAAATTCCCAGAGCGTCAAAATAGCATTGAAACTCAGGTCTATTGTTGCATTCTTTTTTAGGAAAGTATGATAAGCCTCCAACGTTTAAAATTTCTCATTGGCCTTTCATTCCCACTGGTGTTCTTGTCAATTTTAGTGTAACATTTACACCAGGTAAGTTGATGTCAATTGGACATGGAGGTGTTATTATATTTATTGTCTTTTTTTTTTAATGAAAAACTATATTGTAAAAACTGGGAAGGAGGAGAGGCTTATGAAATTCCAAGGCTTCCAGACGGGGGTTAATCAGAGGAGAAGCTTTTCAGAGGTGGGGAGGGGGTAGGGGATGCACAACTGATATAGCCCATATTCTATGACTTCCTTTATTACACAAGGTTATTCTTGTCTCTTTCTTACTGATACTTGCTTCTAGTAGTGGTGGATGTTCTTGAAGCGATAGTGCAATACGAGTTGGTCTCAGACGGCAAAGTTATCGTCAGGGACAGGGACGACGGTGTTTGCATTTCTTCCCCAGATCTGTGCAGCTTACCTGCTGGTGGTAAGTTTCCAAAAGGAGTTAAAAAAAACAAAACAAAAACAAAAACAAAAACAAAGCAAAAACAAAACAAAACAAAACAAAACGAAACGAAACGAAACGAAACGAAACGAAACGAAACGAAACGAAACGAAACGAAACGAAACAAAACAAACAAAACAAACCAAAAAAAACAAAACAAAGCAAAACAAAACAAAACAGAAACAAAAACGGGTAAAAGGGTTAAAAAAAAATTTTTGCACACATAAGTCATCTTACATTTTCAAACATTTCGAAAGCTTACCGAGTATTCCGCTCAACGGATTGTATCGAAATAATAAATCCTGCCCTTTAAAAAATTCCAGACCAAACTCAAGGAAGCTTTTTCCATCAACTGGGAAAAACCCAATAATCAATTCAATCAAAGTCTATCATACCAATCTCACATTTTCGCGTTAATAATTGTTTATATTACATAGGTTCCTTTTCTCCTATATCTCTGTGATCGTAGTCATGCATATCTGTCGAGATTAGAGTAAATTTAAATAGCTTCTTTTTCCAAATAATTTTTTAACCAAAGAAGGTGCGAGCTGAGACACATCGAGACGTGTTTGAAAAATCAAAAAATGTCTATTATCTCTCCGAATTGCATTCTTGACGATCTCGAACAGGTAGCTTCGAATGCCAAAAAGAAAAAAAAAACAGACAACAACAACAAACAAACAAACAAAAAGAAAAAATAAATAGAGTTAAAGTATTCAGGCAATCTATTATCATTGATTATTTATCGATCTTATATATTGCTCTTGGCGGTGTCTCTCATTTTGACTGACCTTGCCTGATTTTTGTTATTATTATTATTTTTGTCTTCTAGAAACCAAAGTGTGGGTTAGATCTGAAAAATTTCCGTCCATCCCTCCATTTTTCAAGGTAATCAATCAATTAACGCAGCCCTGTCAGCTCACGGGTTTCAGTGCTTTTGATTCCTATCTGATTGCCCTGACGTTATTGTAGTCTTTTCTCCCTTCCTAGATTTGTTCCGGTTTGTTACGCATAATGATGCGCCTACACATTTTCAATGAAATTGAAGCCGAACTCTCTTGTAGGCACTCATTCTATTGGCTCCAAAATCAGCTCTTTTAAGGTTTTAAAATTCGTTAGCTACCAACCAGGCCTAAAGATATCCCCGGCGATACATTGGTTCTATAAACTGAGTCAAAACTGAAAATCAGCCTTTGTGAAGAGTTTCTTCAGCTGACATTTCAATCGTCAGCCTATCTCTCTGAGTAAGGACTAACGTTTAAAACATCAGCTTTGAAAACTCTTTACGGTGGCCAGTTTACATTATCAAATTAAATCTCTTGATAAACCCTGATTATCCTTCTACGTTAATTTAGACATTCTGCTTTCGCTCTATTCTTCAATCTATTATAGAATCGAACCTATAAGGGAAGAGTTCAACTTTTCAATGAAAACAACATAATGTTTCTCTGTGGTGAAGTTGTTGGGAAGGTACGCTAGAAGACGAACACGAGTTAAGACTCAAGAGAAAGACGAGAAGCATGAGGGAAAGTAATTCGCTTAAGCAGGAGAATACATTAAAAGAGTTGTACGCGTCTTGCAACCCCTGAGATTGTAAAACAAGGTTTCAAAATCTAACGTCAATCATTAAAGATAACTCCACTTAGTAATTTTGAGTAAACTCATGGATTAAATTTTTGAGGTGAGGGAATCGAAACAGCGTGGAATCTAAAACAGGCAGCAAAAACAGGTAACAATCAAGAGAGCGGATCAATTCGCGTGAAAAAATGGTAAACTATAGCAGAAGTTACTTAGATGGTGCTCCGCACATGGTGCTCCCTTGGAAAGTCCGACAGTTTAAACAGAGATGTAGATAGAAATACGAGAGCAATTATCTGAGTGTTTTAGTAATTTGTTCTGGTGAGTTGCATATCGTATTTAATACCAAGCCATTGACCGAAAAAACTTCTTGAAATATCAGTTATCACTGAGAAGTTTCTTGCGCAAAAGCAAATCACAAAACCAAAATTCTACTTATCTTTCCTGCCTGTGCTTTTGTTTATCTAATACTCAGCTGCCTTTATTTTTTTCTTCTCAGTAAATAATACTTTTATAGTTCACTATGTCCCGAATTTCAAAGAAAAAAGGAACCTTTCGTGACAAAACATCATCCATATTCGCTGCATACGGGCGTTTGTTGCTGATAAAATAAAAGGGGAAGGCTCTGTGCTTTTGAGTGCTTTTTTAAGCTCTAAATGATGTTATTTCAATCTTAAAAACCTGGAACAAAAGGAATAAAGCGAGTTGCACTACAGGGCTCAGTATAAAAGAAAACTTTAAATTCATCGATCATTAACGCTTAGACGAAAATCCTGTTCACTGCTTTTGTGTTGTAAGTAGGAGCACGACTGTCCCTCAAGAACAAGTGGTTGGAGTTTAAATAAGGATAGAAATCATCCAGAACTTAGTTTGCTTACTTTGTGTGTTGAGAGTAACCTGAAAAAGCCTGAAGCGATCTACACGTTGTGTGTATGAACTTGCAAAAAAATGAATAAAAAAACGAATATTCTATGAAAGGTAAACTAACAGGAACTACATTTGCATTTACCTTTAATTTGACTTCGAAAGGAACCGGATATAAATTCGTTAACAACAAGAGTTGTGAAATTTCATTGTGCGTGCATGTCTCTAGGTATCTTTTCTTTTCCTTCGGTCAAAATCTCGAATGAAGTCTGACTTTAGAGTTTTCTTTATCGTAGTTGTATCAGCCAATTTATATTTTCCATCAACAGACATGGATATAAAAATGTTGTCACTGTAAAACTTTTTTAGGCTTTCTGTGAGCATAAAACATATTGTTAAACGATATGACAGCTCCACTCCGCCATAACGTCTAGCTGACGTTTTCAATATCAGCGTAGATACCAAAATAGCTCCAATAGTGGCATACATCACGAAATCAAATAAACCCCACCGATGAAACAAAAACACCTTGTCTGGATTCAACTCTCTCTCAAGAGCTGTCCAGCTTCAAGCTTTTACCAACACTACATGATTATCTTCTTGCCATCTGCATTGTCAATCCCGTGCTAGCGCTGCTAGTCTTAGCAATACTGGGGAATAACCTCGTACTGGTAGTTATCCCTAAATTCTCTGCTCTCCGAATTGTCTTCAATATATTCATTTTCTCGTCGGCTCTTATCGACATTTTGGTCGGTTTAGTTGTTCAACTAGTCTTTGTGGTTTACATTGCTGGTAACAATCAACCTGGTTTACTACTGCAGTTCTCTCGTTATCTATATACACAGATAATTTGAGCAGGATTGTCTCTGACAACGCTCAGCCTGATTGCCTTAGTTCTTTGCAACTGTCTATTCCCCTCAACTACACAACTGCATTAAAAAAAAAAAAAGAAAAAACTTAGCTTTTAGCAATCGTCGCCACAGTCTGAGCTGTCAGTGGCTAATCTTTAATGTTATATACAGAGCATTGAAGGTATAAATCACCGATTTTTTTTTCTCCAATTACTTTCGGTCACATTGGATTAAGCCTCGCGAGAAAAATCGCATTATATTTCAAGACATAAGAGGTAACAAGGCTTCACGAACGACAAATTCACACGCGCAAATTAAGTCAACGTAGAGATTCACGCGCGTAACAATGAAAGCTGTTCCACGCAACAGCTGCAAACGCTGAAAATACGCAAGTCGCTGATGTGCTTTGTGATTCTTTTCTTTTGGCAACCTTAGCCCCCTAGCTGACAAGGTGATTGAAAATAGTGCATTGTATCATATCTGTTACACCCTCTAGCCTAGACTGACACTCCTCAATTCATCCCTAAACCCATTTCTTTACTGCTAGCGACGTAAGCTCGTTGTAAAAGGGGCAAAATATTTACCCTCCACTGGGTTTATCAGTCAACGAGGTAATGGACAGAAAAGATTCATCAGACACAGTTCCTTAAAAAGAGAGGAAGAACAAGTCTGGATCTGTAAACTTAAAACTCTGCCGCCGAGTGATCTGCTTTAAAGCGAAGGATTGAACTAGATCTAGAGACTATTTGCAGCTGTCAGCAAATTTTGTAACGCCAGAAGCACAAAAAAAAAAGCGAAATGAAGAGTTTTGTTTAAGTAGTTAAAGTCGAAAAATGTGTAAGTTCTTTGTCCAAATACTGATCTGAAATTGAATATTTTAAGAGCTAATGGCACCAGCATCAAACAAACAGCGGCAAGTCACCCAAATTTGTTTTCACTCCTACTGTCATATTTTGTAGCCCAATATGTTCTAATAATTTTGGTGTAGTGTTTTTGTAAAAATTTATTTTAGTTTTTGAGAAATAATTTTTTTCGTTCGACCGCTCAAATATGCAAATTTTCACCGTGAATATTACCCGAGTTGTGTGACCTCATGTGACGAATGTACTAGACCTACGGTATTTCTGTGAACATAATCCTTTGTTTTAGCATCTAAACTTAATCCCCTGAAGCTGGCAAAGAGATATTTATTTTTTGGTGAATATTTTTGTCCGACATTCTTTTCCTATGTCGAAAAGTAGCATAAAAAAAAAGGAAGTTTTAACAATGACCGATATGACAAAATCTACTGAGCTTCAAGCTTTTAAAAGACCAAAGGATGGTTATAAAGTTACTGTAAAAATTTCAATGTGTATTTGTGTTGTTCTATCTTGAGACGAACTCGAAGTCCGGCAAAGTTTACTTGATAGCGACTATGAAATATCCATGGTGCACCTACTTGTCGCCACCGTTAACTGGCATAAATCACTAGAATTTGCAAAAAAATCTAACATAACACTCTAACCTTGTTTATTTATGATTTTATTAGTTGTTTCGATGATCACGTTAACTATGCTCTACCACATTCTAGCCAGGTTTGAGTTCCAGTTTATATATCTTCTCTATCATATTATATCAGTTGCGTGACAAGCGTGACACAGAAATTCAAAGATGAATCAACCTCTGAAATACCAAGAGATGCGTTTTTTTCCTCTTTGCATGACATCTAGAAAAACATTTCAGGAATTACTGCATTCAGAAAACTAAAATGCCCAGATCCATCAATAATTCATTTGTCGGCTGAAGTCAAAGTATGGTTACAATAGTCAATTTGATTGACAAGCTACATAGTGATTTAGCTAACTGATCTGTTTTATTAGCGTCTCATCTTACATGCTAAACTGGAGATTTTCTGTTTAGTTTAATCGTTCGCTGGTGGAACTTGTGGGTTTAGTTATGCAGAAGACCAAGTCGTTCCCTTGCGTGATTGTTAAAAAGACATTTTTGAATCTAGCGGTGTTCGACTATCGCGGAAAAGGTTCATAAACGACCTCTCTCCAGACATTAAACTAAATTATTGCCCATTTTCCCTTGGTCAAAAAAAAACATCCGACAGGATGCCAGTTCGTATGCATTAACGACACTCACTCACTCAGTTTTGGAGTTGGGGGGTCCATATCCGCTAGATATGGACCCCCCGGTCCAAATCCACCAACGACACTCACTCACTCAGTTTTGTTGGGGTCCAGTTGGGGGGTCCATATCCGCTAGCGGATTTGGACTGGAGGGGTCCATATCCGCTAGCGGATATGGACCCCCCAACTGGACCCCAACAAAACTGAGTGAGTGAGTGTCGTTAATGCATACGAACTGGCATCCTGTCGGATGTTTTTTTTTGACCAAGGGAAAATGGGCAATAATTTAGTTTAATGTCTGGAGAGAGGTCGTTTATGAACCTTTTCCGCGATAGTCGAACACCGCTAGATTCAATAACAGACAAACTTGTGACACTAATTTATTTTGTCATATCATTGTTCAATGCCCGAGTGTTGGGACGACATGGTACAGTGCGAGTTGTGCTAGGAAAGGTTACACATGAGCTGCGAGGGATTTAAGACTGTCCTAGAGGGAGAGTGGCTCTGTATTGTCTGCAGATTGCCAGACTCTAGACGTCTTCGTAATTGTTAAGGTATTATTTCGGATCCCTCAACAGTTAATAATCGTTAAAATTAGAAAATAAGATTGATTTCGATGTAATAGTCTCCACTTTTGTTAAGACGTTTACGTTAATGTTGATTTGCATCTGAAAATAAGCTGAGAGTTCCAATAGTTCAGAATAGAAACATTTTTACTTATCATAGGCTTTACGAACGACTCGTAATACGAGTAGTTTCTTCGTTCTTGTTCAAAAACTGCTATTATTTTAGAAAATAATGTTATTATTTTAGAAAATAAGACTGAGTTATTTTTGTGACTGGACGCAATAGTCTCCACTATTGTTATGACGTTTCGTACCAATGTTTATTCGCATCAGAAGAAGCAAAGATTTATTGTAACAATTTCAATAGTTCGAATGCAGTAGTTTGTTTACATCTAATTCTTGCGTACACTGTACGACTCGCTACAGTGAATGCGGTAGAATTTGAACGAAATGGCTGTTTTGTTTTTTTTACCTTTATTGAGGAAATATTGTGTTGTGATCGAAAAGAACATCGACAAAAAAGCTTGCAAATAGAATTAGTTACCAAATATGATACAAAGGATGCTTAAAAGGAAAGTTTGGTTTGGGGGGTCCATATCCGTTGTGACACCGGCATCTCAGTGGAGACGCCAAAAGACACCGATGATTTTACAAATTGCCCCACTCACAAATCAAATCTCGGTGTTGGGTGGAATCGTTGTTCCAATAGCAGATGTAGGGTGCCACAAGAAATGTCCGGCCATGGTAAAGGTAGGGTTGAGTCGATTCCAAAAGCTGATAAGGGAATGGCGAGCGTGTATCACAGATATTACTCAAGATGTCTGGAAAATTCGTACAATCGTTCTTCGGTAAGTAGGCTACTTACCACCGTGAGCAAAATTACGCGTGACGTCAGACTGAAGTTTCGATTGGGAGTTGGTCAATAGGCTACCAAAAATTCAGACAAAGGCGGAGTTTTCTGAACTAATGTCTGAACACTTTGTTGGCTTTCCGCCGTCTGGAGGGACGCTTAGTCATTCACGGTGAAAATTTGCATATTTGAGCGGCCGAACGAAAAAAGGCATTTCTCGAAAACTAAAATATATCTTCAAAAAAAAAAAAAAAAAAAAATAAACACCACAATTATTAGAACATATTGGGCTGCAAAATATGAAAGTAGGAGAGAAAACGAATTTTGGGTGACTTGCCACAATATTTCAAATTTGTTCGATGGATGCTGACTTCCTCTCTTAAGATCGGTTTTAAAAAATGACAGACTCGTGTTGTGATGTGGAATACTTCAGAAACAGTTTTACAAAAAGAGCAAAGCCCTGCCTATTTAACATCCATGGTGCAGCCCTGACTATGTCAAAATTATGCTTGCCACACCAATTGTGGTTTTCATATGCTTCAAACGAAGACTCTTAAAGGTTTCTAATGACTTTATACAAAACATTCTAACAGAGCAAATAATTCAGTAGCCATTACGCCGAAAAACTGATAGAAAGTGTGTTTTATTGCTTAAATATATATCTATATATCGTGCGTCAAAGTCATATGTGCTTGAAGGTGCGAGGGATCCTACTTTTTAACTCACCAAAAAAATTAGTATTATCCTTTTTTTTTTTACTAAAAATAAACTATTTTGTTATCTAAAAATCTCAATTTAAATGAAAGACTTAAAAAAATTACGCTTTGCGTTTCGAAGAACTCAGCCTTTGCGGGAGTCGCTAGTGCCTTTAGTTGCAATGAAATGTCATCCAGAAGTCTCACAACAGCCAGATAAATTTCAACGAAAGCTCTGCGTGTTTAAGCCATCTAAAGCGAGATATTTCATGAGGCACAACAAAAGAGTTTTTAGACAAATATTTCAGTGAAGTTCTTCAGTTTCTTCCTTCAATAAAGAGGAAAGTTCATTGGATGTTCCTGTTCTTTTGACCACTCTATTTCTTAGATGTGATACTCCTTGGCGAAGGAAGCAGAAACATCGGATCGGGTTGAAGGTAACGAATTTCCAAATTGACTTCAAATGTAGAATTCCGTTTCCTGTAAAGTAGAAAAAAGGACGGATTGAATTACTTTTACATGAAATTGAAATCTTGCACGAAAACGTTAAAAAAAGTAAGGTGTCCCTTTTTTCTGAAATTTGTCTTTGTTTTCGCTCTTGCTAACAAGCGCTTTGAGAATGGGTGTTGACATTTCTTTAGTACAATGATTTGGATTTTTTTCTAAGATCTCAATATTCATTATACCCCAAATTTACCTCAAAGTTTTTTGTCTTCTACCAATACATCCAAATGTTGGAACACTACAGGGGATGAATATAGAACGTAACTCAAATTCTCCCTCCTTGGCAGCTTCCATAGCTACAATTTTGTAAACTGCATCCTAAAAAGCTGTCAGGGTAACAAGGTCTCAAGGTTCTACTTACAGGAAAAGTTAAGTTGCGGGAAGAATTGACCAAATATCGCGATCTGTTGTAAGATTACAATTGTATGAGCCAGTGTTATAGAGAGTCAAATATCCTACATAACCCGAAGAAGGCTACTTAATGATTTTATCATAATACTTTCATTTCGTGGAAAACAAATAACCTTGGGGATTGGAAAAACCACCACAATCTACGGTACCTTTCCTTGATTTCCTTAGCAAATGACTAAAATGCACATTGAATAAAACAGCAGCATGGAGACTTACCAATGGCAAGCAACAATACAGAGGCGTTAAGAACCACGAACAGGACATTTACAAAGATGGAGTCGTTCTTGCCCTCTCCTTGACTCTCATCCCAGTCTGTGTAAACTGCGCCAAGACAAACGTCAAAGAATATAATCCACAGGACAAATGTTTGTAAGCGATCTTCAAACTTGTCCTTGATTGGTCGGAGTAAGGTGTAAATAACTCCAAAGATACTAACTGTCAGAACTGTAAGACCGATTTGAGAAAGGCTTTTTGATCCGAAAAGAAAAATCAGCGAGATTAGAATCAGCTTGCGATACATCTCTGTGATTTCCCAAAACCAAAATTTCTTCTTATAGTTTTCAAAGAACACCCTGAGTCCGAAAGAAACTGCTTTGTTTTCCTGGGAGTTGCGATATTTGTAAGTGAGAAACAAAACCAGAAGTGGAAATCCCACGGGATATAATGCTAAAATAGAGGCTATGAGCCAATACAACCTGTGGCGAGGAGTGAAACACTGGATGGAGTAGTCAGCTCTCAGCAGGAAGATGCAGTCGCTCTTGTGGTCTGTGAAACAAGTCTCTACACAGGCGCCCGGAACAGGAAGAATCTGAATGATGGATTTGCTCGTCGTGGGGTAGGTCGACAACAAGAATAGGAAAATGTTCCGATAGCAAGATTTCTTCAAACTCTTAACTTCCATTACTTTCTGGTCTTCGTCAAGGTCCTTCTTATTCGTGATGTAGCGCTTTTTAAGAAACAGATACAAGAAAATCAAGCCAACGAGTGAGACATTCATGACGATAATCATCGTGAACTTTCCAAACTGATCGAGCCGTAAAGAAGTCTGGATGCAACTAAGAGGGGCAAACTGCAAGATGTTCCCTTCAAACAGTTTTAGAACCCTCTCCGTTGAGATCAAAACGACTGGCCACTGGACTTTCGCCAATGCCGAGAAAATACCAGCAAGGACTTGATAAAAGCCAATTACAATCTTAAAGCACGACATGACTACGTCTGCAACTGTCCGGTTATTGTCTGCACGCCTGGAGTCACCCCAAAGAACCATTAGAAAAGCAGCAACAAAAAGAACAATTACCAAGATGGATGAAGTTATTGTTACAGCTAACCGGGGACATTTCAAACAAGAGTTGAAGCGAAAATAGAAGCCTTTAGAGCAGGCTGCACACAAAGTCCCTTGATATCCTTGATGGCATTCTGAGTCAATTCCACCCTTGCAGGACTTTGTATGAGGACATTTGAGTGGCTTTGGAAGTAAAATATCGAACGTGGAATATGACTTATTGTAGCGTGGTCCAAAAGAATGAATATTGTTTACAAAACCCCTGAAACGTTCTTTTTCAGACTGGTCTGTCCATTTCCAAAAGTAGTCAGGAGCAAGTATTGCTGTATCTTTCTCACAAACAAAACCGTATGAAGGACATGCTGTGCAAGGGCCAAAACGATCCAACCGATAGGAGTTGTGCAGGCATCTGCATGCGCGATATTCAGCAGTCTCGTTAGAAATCGTACCTGGGAAGGAATGTTTCCTTTCTTAGCAATTATAATACAGCATTCACAAAAAGGCATTTTCATGAATTCACTTCCTCTCTCTCCTCAGAATAAACCAAGAAATAAGATTTCACCAGCGAAGTAAATGGATATACTTTAAAATAAGATGTCTTTGGATTTCGCCAAAAATAAATAATTAACAACAAAAACAACAACTACAATTAAGCAAATAATCTTAGCTCATCTCTCTGTTCTTTAAACAGGGTTTCTGATAGTCCACTATGGTTGACTGTGTTCTGTGGCTGATATGTGTTAAAGAAATCACTGTGAGAGTCCTTTTATTAAAACTTAATGTCAGCCAGAGCGTATTTAAATCGAAAAAGGTTTGCCCAAAGCGAACACTGCACTTACCATATGGACATGCCACGCAGTCGGTAGCTTTGGTTCCAGGACTTCGCTGTTCAGAAACGTACGTACCATTACTGCATCTTTTATATTCAACTTGTCCCATCTCATCCTGATAAAAGCCACCTGTGAAGATATCATATCATAAAACAAGGATTCAGCTACGCGGGTATATTGGAAGAGATTCAATTTTTGAACACAATTACAGATTAGAAACATTGTTATAAATGTTATTGTTTGTGCAGGGTTTCAAGTTATTATTTGTTGATTGCTTTTGGTTATGATAATGAGAAAGTTGGGAAAGATACATTTGCTTCCAGTAGCCGAGCAGAGAGATTATAAAACTCTACTTTTAACTTTCAAATCTGTGAACGATATCGCGCTTATTTACCTACAGGAACTTTAAGAGCAAGTCGTTGACCCCCGAAACGAATGTTTGGTCGAGATATTATAAAGTTTTCATCATGTGGCATACACCTTTCTTTGATATAATTGATATTCTATTCTTCATTATTTTATTAAATAACTTCCAATATTGAAAAGCGCTGTTGGATACTTTATAGAAATGGCGCTATCTAAATCTAAATCTTATTTATATCATTATTTACATTAACGATGAAATAGGTTATCATTTTCATTACCTGCAGGACACTTTAAACAGTGTTTTCCATCAGCAGACATGTAGGTTCCAACTGGACAGAGACTGCAGTTTTTATACTTAATTTGCAAACTTTGGTTTTCATAGATATGGTTGCGGCACAAAAAACCTGAGCGTGCAAAGGCAAATCTGAAGCGACTTTGATGCCAGTCCAAAATGACGTGCAGAGACTTCGAGGGAGCACACTCACTAAGGATTGGACGACAACGATATACCAAAAACTCGCTTGGAAAGAAACATTGTTAAATTTTCATAAAAATTTTGGTACAACAGAGGCCAGGGAGTGATTTTTTACTAAACGAGGTCGTCTTGCAGAGGCGCACGAGCTATTTTCAAGACTTGCAGCGTATCATGACTGGACAAAGAAAGGCTTTATTTTATACCACGGTTGACTTTTAATAACGACACATATTCAATTTCTTAAGTCAAAGAAGCCACTTAATTGATAGTGAAGATGTCCATCAATTGAAAACGGTGAAACTGATTTGGTGCACAAAGAGAAAAATGAAACTTAAGGCCTACTTACATTTGTGATACATATTTTCCCCGAGGCAGCTGTTGAAGATTTTTACACGTCAATGACCTGTAAAACAATTTGATTATTAATGAGTTGAATTTTAACTGATTGGATGTAAAAGGCAACGTGATCATCATGACAATAATGGTGGAAGCAGAAATTAGTCAAAAGGCCTACGTCGCCAGAGGAAACTCAGGTTTCCAAAGCTTTGAGTGACTTGAGGTTTTGCTCCTTCGCTCAGATTAGATGAAAATCCATCACCTGATAATTCCCTTTCTCCCGTCAAATTACTCGACAGTGAGCACTGCCGAAGGCACGAAAACCGACTCGATACAGGCTCTACCAATAAAGCTACAACACAACAACTGTAACGATAATGATGAAGATGTCAATGATGACGACGACGATAATAATGATGGTGATGATGATGATGATGATGATGATAGGTTTAGGTTTGTTTCTGCGCTAGTGGTGCTGTCGTCTTTTCGTAAATATACGTCACTTTGTCTCGTGTTCTCAAGCGTGTTCGAAAACAGTTAGGAAATGCTTATGATAACCTATGGAATTCAGCAATACGAAGTTCCAAGCTAGCTGAACAACATACAAAGTAAATCTTAAAGCGTCTATAATCTAGGAGTCTACTAACTTCAGTTTCTAGTAAAATGCTACCTTTGTTTAAGCCACACGGCTTGACTTACACTTTGGTATCGTTTTCCATTTTGTCGAAGATTCTATCTGGTAATGAGCTTAAAGGATTATCAAAGATAGTCCTGAAAATAAAATATCTACTCGTTACACAAGAAACGATTTGGTAGACATTGTAAAAGCTCTTGATATCATTAATCAGAAATAGCGGGCGCGTTTTTTCTTTTAATGGATTTGTTTTTTTTTCTTCTAACATCTAACTGACCGAAGAAAAAAGAAAACGTTTAGTTCATGAGAATTATCTCCTTTTCAGAGCTCTAAAGGGAATCATTCTATTCGTCAATTTACTCACAACTGCTTCAGTCTGAGTCTGTCAAAAGCCTTGCTTTCAATAGTTTTAATTGCGTTACTGTGAAGAAACCTGCGGAAAAAAAAATACGTTTCGGTGATCTTCTATTCTCAATCAAAATATTTTTGATTGAGGAAAGAAGAAAAGATAACCTTTTTCCTGATTAATGGCAACCGGGATATATCTAGATCTTAGAAACCGAAGCAACTCATATCTTATCGTGTGACTTGTAATGATACACTACGATCATATGGTACAACATTACATGATGTGAGGAAAATCTCAGAACCAAAGTTTATTCTTACAATGATTCCAGGCGAGGAGTTCCATTAAAAACGTCTTTGGGAATAAAAGTCAGCTTGTTTTTGATTAGCAGGCTGAAAAATAACATTTAAAAGAAAACTCCTAACTATGAGAAAAATTATCAAGGACATGACGTCATACGCGTGCCATTCATAACAGTTACATAGGTAAAATAAATTAACAACTGAATAAACCAGTAAACTAGCCAAATTATTATTTTTTAATCAACGGCTACTGTTTCTCTTGTAAAGAAAATCTTTCATCGGTACAAAAGTCCACTATAACCTTCATAAAACGCATGTGATCTTAAAAGTTCACAACCGTGCATACATACTCACAAACCAATAGGAGCGTGTGTTCTATCTCAATTACTTTTGTTTATATTAAGCAAATATTGGATGACGTTGAGTATGATGTCATAAATTATCGCTCATGGAAAAGTTATTTGAACACTTCTCTAGAATTCATACGGAAAAACTTACAGCGTTGTCAGATTGGAAAGTCCACTGAATGTGTATTTATTAATGCTAGTGATGTTGTTGAAGGTTAGCACTCTAAAACCAAGAGAAATATTATACTCCTGAGATATCAAACATTGGACAGGGGCGGATTATATTCTAAGCCACTGGAAATAAACCTTCATGAAACCTATCTGGACTTTGCCCTCTGTGTGTGAAATACTAAAGCCAATTTTATTTGGAAAAAAAAGTCAAAACGAAATATTCTCTATCAGTAACATTTAGTTCCACGTGAAATTTTTTTCAGTGGGGTTGGACAATGCGGTTAGAGTACATGATTAAATGCAGATTGTTTAGAAGGAAATGACACGTGGTGGAGCGAAATCTAATTTGACAAAATGGAATTTGATTGGTGGAATACAATTCAAGCACGTAAAAAATACGCGCATATGTTTTTTTAAATATTTTTTTTTTATTTTTAAAATTTTTTTTTTTAATAAGTCAAAAAGAATTGCATTTGTTTCAAACCTCTCGGGGGCAAGTAACAAGGTTTTTACCACAAATTTATAAAATCATGAAATTCACTCCGTTTTGGGTTACATACCCAAAGTTAGTTAAGAAGGTAAACGTTTTGAGAGGTGGCGATCTCGACCTGATTAATTATTGATTATATTGTTCCATTTGGAACAAGTGAGGTGATTATTTTCTACATCGGTTTTCACCTTTTACTTACAGAATTTTCAAACGATTGAGTTTAGTAAACCCTTTATCAGGTAATGACTGCAACTTGTTGAACGACAAATCACTATGGAAAGACGAGAAAAAGTTATCTACAAGAAAATAGACGCTCAAGGCCCAAAGGGAGACGCATTTAACCCTTTATATTTTGACAAACTGGTCTCTAGACATTTCTTAAGGTTACGGAAAAGGAGAATTTGTGTAACCATTAAGAACTCAATCAGGTATTTAGTGATCATTTCCTTTATTCTCATGACCCTAATGTTTGATTATGGGCTGATATAGTGGGGAGAAATTATTTACTGGTCACTGTTAGGGGTTAAAGAATTAAAAGAAGAACCATCTTCAATAAAAGGAAATGACTCAAAGATCAAGCCCATATTTTCTGTACATTAAGTGGTACTTATTTTTTTTTTTGTAACACTAACCAGACAGTCACAGAATAGCAACTCCATCATGACTGTTGTTAACGCGAAACTCACTTTCATACTGTTGCTGTAGGTTTCATTTGTTGTATTGTGTACTTGTGATTGATGTTTGTACCGTTGCATAACGTGATGTAATTATGTTAAGTAATTGTCAGTTTTTGTGTGTAAATTTAGTCCTGTGAAGTTTAATTATGTCCACTTTTAAAGGAGCAGCGTCGTTGTTTTCGTTTTTTGCCTGTAAAGCTATACACCGTTAAGGTAAATCTTATTCTTTATTTTTAGTTTGTTGGTAAGTTTTCGTTCTCTAACATATATTTTCCTGCTCATGTTTAGTACCGTAGGCGTGTGGTTGTTTCTAAATAAATGATGAAAATAATTACGCGTGTCTTCGGTTACAGTTGTAGTTTCTGTTACTCACAGGCTTCCAGTTACGTTAGCAACCTGAAATATGTTCGGTGGAAGGTGATCGATTTTATTGTTGTCCAACATTCTAAAAATTAAAAACAACATTTTCAGACGTTAGTAGAGCGGGAGCACAGTTGAATATAACCCAAGGCATACAGAGGTAAATAATCTGGTTTCTTGCCAATTAACCTTAAATGAAACATTCAGTTTAAGAATCAAATACTTACAGTTTATTCAGGTGTCCTTTTCCAGTTGTGGCAATTCTTGATAAATTTGTGATTCGATTGTGTTGTAAGCTTCTGAGACGAACATAAGAGTCAAAGCAAGTGAAGGTCAAATTGCTAATGCTGATCAAGAGAATATATTCTCCTGTGCTGATATAGATTTTGGTTCAATAAATTGATAAAAATACCCATGTAGTAGCCACACCCACGCAATACAGGCTATGTGTATGACGTTCAGTTGTCTCACTCGTTTTATTTTCTATCATCATTTTAGTTCAGACTGTCACTAGGGAGACAGAGAGATAAATGGTGGAATTAACCAATCGATAGATCAGTAGATAGAAAGTGTATCAGTGATTGCTAAAAGATTGATATATGGAAATGTAGCGGAGCTCGCAGCGCGCGCAACGTAGCATATTCCTATACCGTCCTTTATACATTTCCTGGTGTGCTGGAAAGGAGAATTTGTTTGAGAATCAAGAGGTTCTTCAGTTGAATATCATTTTCTTTATTTTCATGACCTTAATGCGTGATTCAGGGATGATATTGAAAAGAGAAATTGGATGCTGGTCACTCTCAGTGATTAAAGTGTTAATAACTGTACACATATTATATGCCCTTCGCATTTGTTGGCAACAATGGTTAATGTTGTTAGGAAAGCAAACATACAACTGAACAGAAACAGTAAAATGAGGTAAACTGTAAATTTAGTTTATAGCAAAAACTCAGTTATATCAAGTCTTCTCGTTCCGTGCGTAAATCTGCCGATTCGTCTGTAATAGCGACCAGTAGAAAATCGATTATAACAGTCTGACTGTTGAACTTCACCCTCACGGCCAATTTGTTGCTGTTATCAAACGGCGTTTCTACAAATCCGGGGCCGATGGAGAGAGGTAACCTGCTGTATTCGCCAAAAGATTCAAGTTCTTCGACTGAATCCGACGAACTGGCTTGCTTACTCATTGGACCTTTTAACGAGTCGACTTCCTCCAGCGACTCTGTCGACGAAATTCTACACAGGGCATTCGGATCGGGCATTGGAATGTTAATCGTCTGACCTTGGATAAATTTGACCAGATAAAACTGTTTCTTTTGGAAAAACTTGGTAAACCTCAGTTAGACGTTTTGCTTTTAAACGAAACATTTCTGAAGCCGAACGTGCCTGATACTTTCTTTGAGGTGCTTGGTTATTCTATCTACCGTAGAGACAGGGTAAACAAATCTGGCGGCGGTGTCATGGCTTACACAAACGAATGTTATACGCAGAATTAATCTGGAAAATCAAGAATTTTAAGTCATTTGGTCGAAGTTTGTCCTTTTAAATTGAAACGGTCTTTATTGATTGGTAGTATTTACCGCCCACCATCGTACACCAAAGCTGATGATTTATCTCTGGAGGCAAATTTGGAACGTGTGTACTTGCTGGATAAGGAGACAATATTTTTAGGCAATGTGAATATTGACGGAAGGAATAAGAAGAGCTTTGATAAACATCGGTTAATTAACGCGGTTGACGGTATGAATTTCACGCACCTAGTTAATGAGGTGACTCGTTCTGTCAGCGGCACCTGTTTAGATCACATCTATTCAAATCATCCTCAGCGAATATTGAATATATCAACTCTGACTTTGGCCTCTCTGATCGCGTGCCTATTTTTGCTATACGCAAATATAACAACGACCGTGCATCTTGTAGCATGCAGAAAATCAGAATATTAGTTATCGTGACATGAAGCAATTCGACGAGAAACCGATTCAAAGAAGCACTGAGGCAGGCTCTTTGGGAATGCTGGACTCTTGGGAGTCGATTTGCAATAACGTACTCGATGAAAATTGCCTTTGGCGTGAAAGGCGTGTAAAGGGCGCTGTCCAAACTCCTTGGATGACTAGCTCTGTCTTGAAACAGCTACACCTGTGAGATAATTGCCTAAAAACCGCATGGCGTTCCAATAATGCTGATGATTGGTATAATTACAGAGCGATAAGAAATAAAGCAGTTGCGATGATTAGAAGCGCAAAAAGAAAATTTTTCTACAATGATAGAGCAGGCGCGATATTAACATTATTAATATCGGGGAAGCTGTTATAGATGACAAAAAGCTGGTGGCGCAACATTTTAAGGCTCCTTTTCCAGTATAGCAGACAGGTTAAGATCTACATTACCGCAAGTTCCATCAGACCCCTGAAAGCTGCAAGACTTTGTCAGATCCAGAAAAAGTCCTGATACACCGTATGTCTTTCCGTCCATCATTAGTGCGCAGGTGCTTACTATGTTATAATTACAAGTTAACTCCGCGCAAAGCTGCTGGCATTGATAAAATAAGTTCTCAGCTGTTGCGTATAGGAGCACCTGTTATAGCACCTGTTGTTGCGAGATTAATTAACTTTTCCTTTTCCAGTGGATCATTTCCAAGTCGTTGCAAAACAACTAAAGTTTCTCCTTTGTACGAGAATGGTGACTCACGTGACGTTCAGAATTTTTTACCAATATCTGCGCCACCTGTCCTTTCTAAAGTTATCGAGAGACATGTGCATGACTCTTTATACAGTTATCTAACTGAAAAAAATCTGATTTATCCTCGTCAGTCTGGTTTTGGAAAGAACCATCGTACAGACACCACTCTGATACAGATTATTGATGAACAGTTTGGATAAGAATATAACTGGTACTGGTAGACTATTGTAAAGCCTTCGATCGTAGATTATGGTCTTCTTCTGGATAAGCTGAAAGTGTATGATGTTGCTGGCGAAACAATGAGATGGTTCCAGTCTTATTTGGCGGACAGACACCAGCTTGTCTATTTGGGTGGTTACGTCTCAAACATGGCGCTTATGAAACATGGGGTTCCTCAGGGCAGTATACTCGGCCCCTTGTTTAACCCCAGGATTATGACTTATTCGAATGACTTTACTGCGTGCCATAAAGGTACAGGCAGGCGTTGTAAAAGAGTTTGCTTAGCTTTTTCTTTAGTACACATTTCTTTTTCTAACAATCTTGTTTATCTGGCCTATGCTGAATTCTTATCTCTCAACCAAAATTTTCTCCTTTTTTAAAAATTCTAAGATCTCCTAGTATCAGTCAATATTCATGTAATTAAAATAGTTGCATGAAATCTTGCAGATGTATGGCACATTATTTTTCCTCTGATCTTCCTAACATTTCATTATGTGTAGGGATTGGTATTGGCTATATAAAATTTAAGTCAAGTTAAAGTCGTGTGCTCAGCCTGTGCATCAAATTTATATAATAAAATATTGTATCCTTCTTAAAACTAGTTTATCAAAATAAGAACGAGTTACCAGGCACAAGTATGGCTTTCACGATGATAGTTTCCAGGTTTGAAAAAAGTCATTGCCTACTAAAATCCTCACTTCCTTTGCCCTGACAGCCCAACCTCATCAAAACATTGCCAACAGTAGCAAGTAGCTAATTAATAATACAGGCAAGAGAGCCTATCCCCAAATACAGCCACCTCAATCCTGTTAGCTTATTATGGACATGGCATTTCAAACATGGTGTATATGCCACAATTGATTAATAACAATAATTGATTAATTATTTTGTAATGGTGTTTACAAGTTTTGGAAAATGGTCGGGTAGAAATATAATACAAAGACTTGCCAGCAGATAGTCAGAAGAAAACTTTTACATATCAACAAAATTTGTTTGTTGCATTTCATGTTAACATGCTGCAACAACTCTATCTTCTAGTAAATTCAACTAATAGCCAACATGAGATAATACCATCTAAAACTTTTCAACCTATTTAAGATAGCCAACTCAACTTTACACTAAATATAAAACTTGATTGGCGTTTGGAATTGATTTCTGTGATGTGGAAATGAAATCCAGGTATTATCGCAAGTTTTCTTGAAGACATCCACATTATGTGCAGTTACACCAGAGGTTACCGAATTGCAGTATTTCCAGCCAGAGGAAAATCATGTAACAAGAATAGCCGAAAGCGAAAAAGTTTAAAAAAACATTACAGGTTCAAACGAGAGTTGAATATTGCTTTTCTTTTCAGTTTTCCACGCTAAACAGAGGAGGTTGAAACGTTAAAGAAAAACGATGGGGCAATCAGTCATACCTGGAAACTTCAAGAAAAGATATAAGAGAAGCCCATACGATTCTGGGTATTGTTTTACTGACTCACTAAGCTCACGCGGAAACACTCCAATCGACTAGTGATGTCTTAACATAAAGTAGTTTGCCACCGTTTCTTTCAATTTTGGCTCATTTTCCTGACCAAAAAAATAAGTCACGCTTAATGTAATATAATTTCAACTGATGCTGACATCATACACTTCATCTGGAGAAGAAAACATTCCCTATCTTCGAAAATTAGCTCAAAGCATCAGGAAGAACAACGAACGACCTAAGCTGCTTGAAGATACCGCTGACGAGCATGCGTGTTGATCGCTTTGCAAGTTGTGAGACGACGTCCCCTCTTTTCCTCTTGAAGAAACTCTTCTATAGCCTGTGCTAAAGAGTATTATCATAGTTTTATTCAGTATAATGAAGGGCTGGAAAATAATCTAACAAGGGCTCCGCTTTTAGGCTTGGCTAAATATATATATATATATATATATTGAAACTAACGATACATTCACGATGTACAAAATAACAGCATATTTTAAGATTTTTAAAATGTGACAGGCATGTACAACCTTAGACGGAAGAAATTAGTATATTTTGTAAAACGTTTAGAAATGACCTATTTAGCTAATAATGTATTCAAATAAAAGAAGTTTAGAGGTAAATTACAATTACGAAGCTTTGGAGGACTGAAAGAGAAAATTACATGAGCCAGTATACGTAGATCAGGCCTTTATGAATTGTGCTGAAACAATTCTGGGCATAATTTGGAAAAAACGAGCATAATTTTAGCTTTTTTTTGTTTTGGAAAAGTAGGACCTTTTTAGTTTTTATGAAGGGATCACTACCAGAGCCATCAACTGTTTTGTCTCTAAGATTGATTATTTTCAATTTGGTCCATGGTTCAGATTACCTTCAATTTTGCAATGTCTTGGGGAAAGAAGTTTACCAAAAACTGAGTCGTTACTCGTTTAGAGGACTGAAAACACCGGAAGCGAAGATTGCATCCGCCCCAGTTCCTTCCTTAAAGGGAAAGGAAATGGCGTCGAAGAGAAACATGATGCTAACATCGTACATTTTGACACATTAAATCACCGCTTCTAATCTAGAATTAACTGCAGTAATTATTTATGTCTTATCAGAACAAGTTCATAATTCAAAGCAAAGGAGACCTCATGCTTTATTACAAATAAATGTATAATTTAGATTTGTTTTGTTTCTTTTTGAAAAGCACACTTTTGGAAAAAGTAGCCCGATTTCCATGCATGGAGAAAATCGAGCACGCTTAAAGCGTTATGTGTTACTTTTACTAGCACAATTTAAAAGGGACTATTGCAGGCGATGGAGAAAGTTTCCTTTTTTTCAGGCAATGATCAGCATTCGTGTGGGATCAGGAACAATTTCAACCTGCTCTAAAATGAGTGGTTAAATTTATGCACCATATTTCTTGGCTAACCCTGATAAATTATTCGACCTCAAAATATTGAATAGTAAAGTGTTCGGTGTTATTATATAGATATTTAATATATGCCAGAATTTCTCCTGTTTCGAAAACACATATCTTTACCGTGTTTATTGAAGGAATCATCTACTGATATTAAAAATGACGTCGTGGTTACCGGATTTAAGAAGATTGCGGTTTTACTTCTGACTTGCATGACTGTCTAAGAGGTTTCATGAGTATGCTAATTTAGCCTAGAAGTTTCTTAAATATTTAATCAGTCTCGCATCACTGCGCATCAGCAGTTTTTCAAGTCCGTGTAAGATGCTGAAAATAATTAAACTTTGGAATGCTGCCATAATTAGGTTAGACGGAAAGTTCTAGAATCTTATACTGTTAAGTATATAAGCCAACTTGTGTAACTAGATGATATGACTGGTTTTTCACAAGCTGAGTAGTGTGACGGAGGTCGAGTTTACTCAACTGTGACTGAGATCGAGTTTAACTGCGGTTGTGATTATTTGAAGTTTGGCAGAGGCCGTGTATCAGCGTTTATTGTGACGAGTTGTTTCAGAGTTTTGCAGCTATGGAGACTACCTTCTGCGGGAGTAAATCATCTTTGTTGCTGTTCCGACATCCCTGTGTCCTGTTTAGCTACAGATAATCACTTAACGATCACGCGTAACACATGGATTAAGGTTAAATTTGAATTTTTGTGGGAGGAAGGCATATTTTAGGAGTGTGATTTTTTGCTTTTTTCGTCAGAGTTGAAATAACAAGTTGCAGTTATGTAGAGAAGATCTCTGCATTCTGTGCTCTTAAATGTGTTTTGAAGCTGTCTGTCATTTAAACGTTGCATGTTTGCTCGTGGAGGCGCGTTCATCTCGAGTTCATCTCGAGTTCATCTCGAGTTCATCTCGAGTTCATCTCGAGTTCATCTCGAGTTCATCTCGAGTTAATTGTATTGTAATTGCATCGCTAACACGTTCACCTTGCTCAATATACAAGATAAGATTTGTTTCGGCGCGTGACACAATAAAAATGGTATAATAGCTACTTACAATAAACCGATATATTTAAGACCTTTCAAATCTGGTACAGATGTCAGCTTGTTGTTGTCCAAAATGCTATACGATGAAACCAAACAAAAAAATGTAAAAGAGTTGTTATAAGACTTCATCAATTCGCAAACGTTCCTTCTTTCTCTTTGTCTCGTAAATTTTACTTCTTCAGTCATTTTCAATTTCTTTTTCATTTTTTCCCACCACAAGTCATAATTAATCAAGGGTCGTAGCAGTCACAATCGCATATGTGTTATCTGGAATAAAATTGGCGTGTTGCAACGAGTGACCTTTTTTTTATGATATACTACAAATATTTCTTTATTTGCACCAATCACCGAAATCTTTGCCATTTTACTTATTTCATGCAAGCGTTTTAAAATCACTTACCATTTTTCCAATCTTCCAAAGTTGTTGAAAGTGCCATCGCTTATCGTCTCAAGCTCGTTTCCTTGAAGGTACCTATAAGCAAATGTAAAGAGAATTGAGATATCTTCTGGGAGGCATAGAAGGGTGGGGGAGGGGAGGAGGGGGGGGGGGCATTAGTGTTGTTTTACATATTTACGTAAAATGAAAGTCGATAAAACTCCCATCATGGTGGGTCCAACATAATAACAGAGGTATGTTATTCCTTTCAAACTCGCACTACCCAGCAGTAGGCAAATAACAGCAATGCACAGCCAATGTACTTACAAATATGTAAGGTTAGCCTTAAGTCCATCCACTGTACCCTGGTGTATATGAGTCAGCTTATTGGAAGACAGATCACTGAAAACGGACAAATTTCAAACAATAATGTGACGCCGCTTATTCCAGGTTGATCTCACCGCAGATAAACCTGTCTGTAATGGTCCGAGGTCAAGGATTTAACAAGTGAAGTGTTCGCACAACAAAACCTAGCACCAGATCTTTCCCTTTGTTGAGCTCAGTCTTACTCAGAATTACATTGCAAATTGAATTACAAAGAACAGCAATTACTAATTCTGAGCAAGTTTGCTAAAACCTCGACGATGAACTCCTCAATGTGAATATTTTTAAGCCTCCTCCTCATTTTCATTTCCTTCTCCTAGTGATCTTTGTTACTACCAAATAAATTAAATATCCTTAAGACCAAAAAGGATTTCTGCCTTTAAAAGATCAGCCCATGTGCGATTGTGAATTCCTAGCGCATTTATAGCTAATGTATATGAACGGTCGGTGCATTTTTTAAAATCTAAAAACATGGCAGTCGGTAAAGATTTGTTTTCGTTTCTTAGATGCGGGAAGGAAATTTTCAGACACACCCTCTCCAAGACATGCCAGGCGAAAAATTGATAAATACTACTTACAGTGACTGTAGGTATTGCATTGCCCGAAAAGTTCCATTGACGATATTTTCCAAGTTGCAAGCACGCATGGAACTACAAAAGTAATATGAAAAAGTCAGTGTGGTGGAGAAGTCTAATAGAGACTGCTATTCAAATACTTAAAGGATGGTATTGGCTAATTGAAGAATGCGCTCTAAAGATATATCAGAATAACCATAATTAGACAGACAGAGCAGAACATTCCTTTATAATTTTTCAATACGCTTCTTTGTCGGGCCCTAACTAACTGTTCCTAACTTGTTAAACTTAACAACCAAGCTAGTTTTCTCAAAGATGGCTGCAGCTAATACCTAACAAATGCACAGAGTTTTTAGTGAAAACGATTATTCCTGTTCATAACTTATATGGCAACAAAGGGTAGTTATGAAGTGATTAATCGTGTTAATAAATACAGCAGTATAACGATATGGTCATTTTGGATGTGGATGCAATGTTTCTACGAATACTCCTTTTCGACAGCTGTTATTGACGCCGACACTCAACTCGCACAAACTTTCAACGTCCCACGGAGCACCTGCTCGTCAGCGAAAACCACTCATTTGATAAGGAAAAAAAGGCATTGACCGAGAGTCCGATTTAAAAAAAAACACAGTATAAGGGGCAATTCAGATAAGACTGCACTCAGCAGAAATTCCAGAAGAAAAGTAGGCAACGATCAAGAAACAAAACAGCAGAATTGCCACATCACAGTGTACCACAGCGAATTATAGCAGAGTAGAATGCTTTAGGAGGTAACAATCGACTTCGGCGTCTGAATTAAACTAACTAGCCGCTGGACTTACAGATGTGTCAAATTTTTAAGTCCAGCGAAGATGTCTGCCGACAGAGAGGGTCCAAGCGGATTTCCATCAAGGTATCTGTAAAAGAAAATCGTTTTAAACGAGTTTTAACTATCTTTGATTCCATATAGGCCGATATTAGGTGCGAAATTTTAATTCATATAAACTGTGATGAACTATTGAATGTGATAAATGCAGTATATTGACCACTGTTCCTTTAGTTGAATGAGGTTTGGCTGGACTGTGCGAATTGTCTGATCAGCCATCAAACTATCTTCACATACAGACACAATAAGCTTGGCCAATTAATCTACAAGTTTACTTCCGTCAAATGGACTTGTTTTTACATTTTTTTGTCTATTAACTTATAAAACGATAAAGTGCTTCGCTATAAGAGAAATCTTGTCGATCCAATACCAATTTCTCATTAACAGACACTATATTCTTTTACATTTCTGAATAACTCACATTTTTTTTTTAATTCACTTTCATTTACAACTTACAACTTCTCTAAAACAGTCAGATTCCTGAATGTGTCTTCTGTTATTGAGCTCAACGAACAACTTGAAAGATTCCTGGGTAAAAATTAAACTGTAAGTAAAAATGGTAATGAACATAAAAAAACACAGTATAAGGGGCGATTCAGATAAGAGTGCACTCAGCAGAAATTCCAGAAAAAAAGTAGGCAACGATCAAGAAACAAAACAGCAGAATTGCCACATCACAGTGTACCACAGCGAATTATAGCAGAGTAGAATGCTTCAGGAGGTAACAATCAACTTCGGCGTCTGAATTAAACTAACTATGCACAGATGAACCAGGGTTTTTCTTCGAATGTCACTAAATCGTGAGACAAACATTCATTATGATACTTCTTACTAGTCGGTGATTTGAGGAGCCGCTGGACTTACAGATGTGTCAAATTTTCAAGTCCAGCGAAGATGTCTGCTGGCAGAGAGGGTCCAAGCGGATTTCCATCAAGGTATCTGTAAAAGAAAATCGTTTTAAACGAGTTTTAACTATCTTTGATTCCATATAGGCCGATATTAGGTGCGAAATTTTAATTCATATAAACTGTGATGAACTATTGATGTGAACTGTGATGAACGAGTATTTAGCGAATATCTCCAACGATCATCTGCTGAAAGCATTCGAAAATAGTTTTTTTGTGATTTTTAAATCATCTAAAAAGGTGACACTTATAGTTTGTGAAGCCGTGTTAATCCTTCGAGAATGAACTTCACATCAGCAACTGATAGTAAGTTGTCACTGATTTTCCTAAACAAATACAATATCTAAAATCAATCATGCAGCTTCATTTATACTACGATGTTTCATACATCCATATATCTATCTCATGTAAACGGCTCACCATCATTTTATTCACAATGTGTGGAGAATACAAGCTGAAAGCAATATTTTAATAGTAAACCTGGAAGTACTTTGATTCTGTAGCAAACAGCTTTGAGAAGAGATATTTACCTCGCCTCTTCACGGCTCGGTAAATATCCACCACTAGCCACCCCCACTTAGATGAATAGTTGTTTATCATGATAAAGCTAACGAAAGTCGAAATAAATAAAAATACTTGTAAACTCTACAAGGATAGTGATTTTCATCAGCCCAATAAGATGACAATGGAAAAAAGATGGGAAATACTTTTTCACTCGTGTTTTTCTTACCACATTTTGCAAACTGTTTAAATTAAATTATTGGGAATTTCCTTACATTACTTGAAGTTTCACCATATTCCGGAAAGTGTTTTGAGGAATGTGTCGCAGGGAATTATTTGATAAGTCCCTAGAAAAATAGAAAGAGTTCATAGAAAAAAAATTGATTGATTCTCGGAAGATTAAGCATAAAATTTTCCATAAGCCAAACGTTCCCCTTACATAAGATTACTTGCCCTTTCCTGTTTTACTTATCATTAGAAGGAGGATGTTAGTATCCTAATGATCAGCTAATACGGTCGAAATTTACCAGCTCATAAATAATAATTTAACTATTGAACCAACAATGAGTACTCAAATAATATATAGATTTAGCCAAGCCTAAAAGCGGAGCTCCTATTAGTTTATTTTCCAACCCTACGTTACACTGAATAAAAACTCTTCAGCACTGGCTGTAGAAGAGTATCTTCAATGGATTGAAAGACCAGTTCGGGGGGTTGGGAGGTGGGGAAGAATGAAGAATTGACGAAGTCTGCAACCTGGGAACGAAGTTCTTACAACTACACACACGTTCGTCAGCGATATCTTCAGACAGCTTACGACCTTCGTTGTTGTTCTTGATGTTGTGAATGGTTAACTCTTTGATTAATTCGCGTTTGTTAGGCGACCCGTGGAAATCTCAAGACCATTATCAAACTTTTTTGCAACCTTGTTAAATTTTTCTTCTGAATATGCCAGATAAATGCAGTATGTTGACCACTGTTTCCTTTAGTTGAATGAGGTTTGGCTGGACTGTGCGAATTGTCTGATCAGCCGTCAAACTATCTTCACATACAGACACAATAAGCTTGGCTAATTAATCTACAAATTTACTTCCGTCAAATGGACTTGTTTTTACATTTTTTTGTCTATTAACTTATAAAACGATAAAGTGCTTCGCTGTAAGAGAAATCTTGTCGATCCAATACCAATTTCTCATTAACAGACACTATATTCTTTTACATTTCTGAATAATTCACATTTTTTTTAATTCACTTTCATTTACAACTTACAACTTCTCTAAAACAGTCAGATTCCTGAATGTGTCTTCTGTTATTGAGCTCAACGAACAACTTGAAAGATTCCTGGGTAAAAATTAAACTGTAAGTAAAAATGGTAATGAACATAAATTTGAATTCTAGAGGAGATGAGGTCAGGAAGGATTAAATAAGGGCCTATCTAAATTAAAAGAATTTTAGTTTAAATTGACACCTAGCCTTCAAATTTTGAATCTTCATAGCCTTATGACTTTCTTATGGTTAATTTTAAATCGTGTGGTTGTTTTTCCTTTTTTGCTTGTTTGTTCAGAACTCATCTTTGCTTTTGGTTTTTTTTTCTTATAGCTCTGACCAAGACTCCTTAGCAAGTCTAAGATGTGTCTACAAACTATTAGCTCTTTCACTTACAGCTCTACTGTATTGCTTGGGATTCCGGCTGATATGTATCCATGAACTCGACATTTTACTATTAGCTGAGTCCTGCCGAACTTGGTACATTGACAGATGTTTTGGCTGCAAACGTCACTCTCAGATGGTGTTACAACCCACAAGACCAAGATGACTTGTATCACACTAGTGAACATCGTTACCGTGGCCAGAGCGGTTTGCTAGGAAAGCAAATTATAATATTCCGATAACAACTTATTCAAAACCGTTATCCGTTGTTCAAAACCGTTATCCGTTGTTCAAAACCGTTATCCGTTGTTCAAAAGCGACAAGGCTTACGTTGCGAGGCATGTTTCTCCGGTAAATTTTTAACATTCGCATGTATAATCACTGTTTTCAGTAGGAATAAATCAGTTTCATCCAAATATTTCTCTGACAGGAGGCTGTGAGGTCATAATTTTTTAAAATAAAAAAACTGCAAATTGTTCTCTCTGAAGTAAGAAGAAAAATAACATTTCTACGCTGTTGAAAAGCTTATCCATCAAATAAACTCACCCAAATATCTCCCACAACCAAGTACCGACCTCTTTGAAGAATGTTTTTAAAGTTGCACAACTTCTTTCTTCTTATAATCCTCTTGTAATTCTTGTCATTTTCTATTTTTAACAATAAAGGATAGAAAGCGGATATAATTACAGTATTGGGCAAATATAACCATTATTTTCACTATATGGAATGTAAGGAATGTAAATTTTACTATACATAGAAATATTTCTCTGACAAGAAGCTGTGAGGTCATAATTATTTTTTAAATAAGAAAAATTGCAAATTGGTGTAAGTACAAACAACGATTTTGCAACGCGGTTGAAAAGGTTATCCATCCAATAAACTCACTCAAATATCTCTCAAAACCGAGTATCGATCTCTTCGAAGAATGCTTTTAAAGTTACATAACTTCCTTCCTCTCATAGTCCTCTTGTAATTCTTGTCATTTTCTATTTTTGATAGTAAAGGATCGAAAGCGTATATAATTAGCACGCTCAATTGCGTTTGTAGCTCCTACGATGTTATCCAATGTTGCACAATTTGTGATTCTAGGGTTGATATTAACTTGAAAATATGATTGATTATAAACATCTTGCTCTTCAAAGTTGACTGTAAAAGAATTAGTAGCCCTTCGACAACTAACATTTTACTCCGTACCTCCCAGTTATCGGTTCCACATTCTCACTTTCTGTTTGTAACACAAAGTTAACTGCTGACAAAGGCACATACATCACCGAAAACAAGAAGTTTCGAAACTCTGAAGCATTAATTTTAATTACGAGTAGGCGTAAATGCACATTGCATAAAAGCAGTCACTGGTTTCGATCAGCTAATTACAAAAGTAATTAACATTCGTATGTATAATCACTGTTTTTAGTGGGCATAAATCAATTTTATCCAAATAATTCTCTGACAGGAAGGTTTGAGATCATAATCTTTTTTAAAATAATAAAAATTGCAAATTGGTCTGAGAAGAAAAAAGGATTTTGCTACCCTGTTGAAAAGCTTATCCATCTAATAAACTCATCCAAATATCTCTCACAACCAAGTGTTGGACTCTTCGAAGAATGTTTTTAAAGTTACATAACTTCCTTCCTCTCATAGTCCCTTATAATTCTTGTCATTTTCTATTTTTAAGAGTAAAGGATCGAAAGCGTATATAATTAGCACGCTCAAGTGCGTTTGCAGCTCCTACGATGTTATCCAATGTCGCACAATTTGTGATTCCTGGGTTGATGTTGGTTGATTATAAACATCTTGCTCTTCGACGTTGACTGTAAAATTTATAGCCCTTCGACAACTAACGTTTCACTCGGTACCTCCCAGATATCAGTTAGACATTCTCACTATCTATTTTAAACACAAAGTTAACTGCTGACAAAGGCACATACATCACCGAAAAGAAGAAGTTTCGAAAGTCTGAAGCATTTATATTAAGTACCCTTAGGCGTTAATGCACACTACTCAACAGGAGTCACTTATTTGAATCTGCTAATTGCAAAAGTAATTATCATTCCTATGCATAATCACTATTTTAGTGGCAATAAATCAATTTTATAGTTCTCTGACGAGAAGCTGTGAGGTCATTAATTATTTTTTAATAAGAAAATTGCAAATTGGTCTAAGTAGAAAAAAACGATTTTGCTACGCTGTTGAAAAGCTTATCCATCCAATAAACTCACAACTGTGGTGGCCGAGGGTTGCCACTCAAAATTTTGTAGTATTTCTTAGAACTACAAATACACTGGCTAGACGAAATGTAAATTTGCCTCTCGACTGAAAGGGCACCAGAAAGTGATAGATCAGAACAATCGCAATACTCTGCACCGGCTAAAAACTGTTATTCTTGGCAATTGGAAACTTCTCTCTTTGGGAACTCTGATCATTGGCTTTCGTACAAGTGCTAACTGGCGTAGCTGGCGTAACTGGCGCCTTTTAAAATCTTGGGATGAAAATTACAAGAATCCACTGAATCGTAACGATGACATAAATGTTTAAAGCAAGAATTAATTAACTCAGATTTTGCATTTTTCTTAACAGATATATCACGCTCTCTCTCGTTGAGACAACAGACCGCGCTTTCTATTCGCGCACCGGCGTGATAACCCTCAGGAGATGCGAAAGAAGAGAAACAAACCGTGATTTCGCGTATTCTCCCAACATCTTGCGTTGGTTAGATAGACTTTTTGGAACAGTGTCTCGAAGAGGCTATCAAACGCTCATTCTAAAAAGCCGCGATAAAAAGCTGCGATTGACAATAAATTCCTTTAATTTACATCGTTTTTTCTCCCCAGTCGTCGCTTTAGAAGACAATGATGATTTTGACCCGACAACCGACACAAACTATTTCCTGATCATGTTAGTTTTTGTTATCAGTGAAACATGGGGATATCGCTTGGGCCTTGAAATCATTATTGGGTGATTCTGTGGTAAGTTACTATGTTTAAGAAAAATTACAAAATGTTACCAGAAATGGCACGGAAAATTAAAATCGAGAATCCCTCGTCGAATTTATTTTTAACAACTGGCTTACTACTTTCTCAATGTCCGAAAGTTCGGACATCGAGTCAACCACCCACTACCCGTGTGCGAACCTTCAGCTTCCGCATTTTGTTGTTCATAATTTCCACTGTCATGAAAAGTTTCTATGCTCAAAATTGACTTCTTTTTTGTATTATATGTTTAATTATTTATCAAGCGAGTTGATATTTTGCTAGCGCTAAAGCAGATGTGAAGAATGTAGCAGGAATGTTCCGGCGTCCCAGCGGATTTGGACCCCCCTAGATTCTGACCCATGGTCCAAATCGGCTAGCAGATCCAACTGATTTTCATTTCCCATGGAGACTCAAAAAATCGGGCATCCACTGTGCATTGGACGACGGAATCCAACGCTCCAAGGTTTATTCCAATCGGGGAATCAGATCTTCCCATACGCGAGATCAAAATGATATACATTCTGCTTTGTTCAAAGACCAAATCAAACTTTTAACCCCTTTCTTATCAATTTGACCAAGGGTGTATGTTATAAAATATCCAGGATTTGAGAATCGAGTTTACGAGAGAACGCTCAGTGCGATTGCAAGTAAGAGGTTCTCTAAAACTTATAAA